GTAGTGAGAAGTACTGTGACCTTCTTAAATAACACACCAACTTTCTCCTCTTGGGTAGTTTTTCTGTGTTGAATTCAGATGGGTGGAGCTGTTTTTAGTGGCATAAGAGGGTAATAAGGAGAGTTGAAAATTAACTGTAACAACATTAGAATAAAAAGTCCACAGAAGGCATATATCACCTCCATCTTAAGTCAGGTCTCGGATGTTCACCCAGCTTTGTTTTACAGAATTGTTTTTCAACACTCCTCAGACCACCTGCATCCTGCTCACGGGGCGTGCTTCCCATCCCAGGACATCGGAATACCCGGAGGCCTGGGAATATGCATTTTAAAAAGTTCCCCAGGTGAATCTTACATATAGTAACACTGAGAAGCACTGCTCTAAGACAGAACAAAATAAAGACATTCACCAATCAGCATTTTCTAAAAGAGGATAAGTCAGATATAAGAATAAATGTCCCATCAAAACCTATTATTCTAATGGTAACGTGATTAGTCAGAATGCTAACGACTCCATGCAGTGCTGTCAAAGCATAACCAACTTCATGCGTGACCATGCAAAACGCAACTGTTATTATTTTCATGAATGGTTTTAGGTATTCTTCTACTGAGTCAAAAGACAGAGCACCTTCAAGGGCATTAGAGATGGGAAACAAAATAAGCAAGGCAAAATCACAGCTTTGAAGTGCAATCCTTGATGCACTCAATCTAGTTTTAAAGGGGAGGACAGCAGCCTCACCGGGAGACTCCGGAGACAAGCGTGCTGTGCCGATGTATGGTCCTGTTAATTGTCATCTTAAGGGTAAAAATATATTTTAAAAACCGGAGTTTGCTGGATATTTTTTCAATGCAATGGAATGAATGAAGCACAAAATCCTTTTGGAAAAAGTCCTTCAAGTGAAGAAGTGTATGATCTGCTATAATAATTTCAGTGCTCAGTCACTTTAATGCTGAGTGTGATTAATGCTGGTGAGATTACATTTTTCTTCCTTTTAGTGTAATTTAAGCTTACAGGTTTTCAGAAAGCATAAGGCGATCAAACTCTTCTAGATGGATGTAAGAAGGGAAATTCTGAATTGAAATCTAAAGGCTTCGTTTTTGTTACTGGATTTGGGGTCTTTCTCAAAGAGCACTTTCTGGCCAAAGAGCCATCTGGGACATTTAATTTGAAAGGATACAGATTAGAAAATAATCAATTTTTCGTTAGATAAAATGACTTTAAATTCAATCTTTTAAAGGAAATGTAGAGGCTTGGGAATTCTTGATCTGATTTGAGTTCCCTGAAGAAGACCCATCCTTCCCATCTGGTGTCTGCAGCTGCTACCCCAAAGCCTGGCAGACAGCGGTGCTCACAGGCCGCCGGGTGCGGGAGATGGTCAAGCACCCACACCTGGGTTCCAGACCCACCCATGAGGGTCAGAGCTGTACCCAGGAGGCTCTGGGAAGAAGAGAGCTCACTGTGGTGTGTGCACCTGCCCTCCGGCCCTCAGTCCCCAGGTAAGAACAGGTGCGTGGCATGTGTCTTTTAAAACAAAGGTGTACAAATGCTCATGAGATTAGTGGAAACGCCACAGGTTATTATCTCCCACACAACACTATTAGGATCAGGCCACATGTTCGTCTCACCCAAGCGTAGGGACCCCCGTACTCCAAGTCAGGCTGCGACTGTCAGAGGTGGGATGGAAGAGAAAAACAACACAAAAGAGTTGCCCAAAATCAATTAAAAAGCTACCTAAGGCATAACACAAACATAAAACAAAAAACAGGCAATCTTGAAAATCTTAATGAAATTCAACTATTTTCATGACTTCTAGAATCTCGTATGTATTTACAAACGCAATTACATTAGCATTACCATAAAATCCATTAGCATTAAATGAAACTTCCCTGGCAGCTGTTGCCCTAATTCATGGAATCTGAAGCAGTCTGAGCAATCCTTTCTCCTCCTCTACCTAAAGCATTCTATTTACATTAGGCAAAAGGTCAACAGATGTGTCACTCTCAATTTTTAAGTAGAGAAAATTAAGTACTTATGATATCTAAATCTAGGTTTTCTGAGAATGTCCATACAAACGCTAGAAAAAAAAAATTTCTTCCATTTTTAAGGGTTTATCATCACTGTCAGTGGAGTGAAGAAGGCCTGTATTTTGAGAAAGTCAAGAGATAAAAGATAGGGTCTTTGGGCTTCCCTGGTGGCACAGTGGTTGAGAGTCCGCCTGCCGATGCAGGGGACGCGGGTTCGTGCCCCGGTCCGGGAGGATCCCACATGCCGCGGAGCGGCTGGGCCCGTGAGCCATGGCCGCTGAGCCTGCGCGTCCGGAGCCTGTGCTCCGCAACGGGAGAGGCCACAGCAGTGAGAGGCCCGCGTACCGGAAAAAAAAAAAAAAAAAGATAGGGTCTTTGAACTTTGCAAACGGAAGATTTCCAAATATTAAAATATGAAAAACAGTAGAAACTGGCCCTACGCATTGAAGGCCTGAGATGAGCCCCCCTGGCGGGGGAGGCGCAGTGGGGAACCCTGCCCCCCCACCAACCAGGAGAGGCCACTTCCGGGCCCCCGACGGGCTTTGGGATTGATGCTGTCACAGCACCCTGGCCCTGAGCAGGCCCCCTCGCTGCTCTGGGCTTGGTCTGTGTCTGTAAAAATTAGAAGGTTTGACTCTTATCCCCAGGATCCAAGTTCTCAAGGTCTGTGATTTTTAACGAGAGTTATTTCTTTAGATCAAGTGCGTCACAGGAAAGAGCGGGGGAGCACGCCACCGGGCTAGCGACGAAAACCCATCCACTGCTGACTTTCCACCTTCCCCCCATCTCTTACTTAGCACCCTAATTGTGGAGCTCCTCCATAAACTTTTATATCCTAAAACAAATAGGCTTGTATCTTGGCAAAGAATGGTGTCCAGCACAGAAATTTAGCTCATTTCTGGTTAAAATCGTTGAAAATGAAATAAATGCTATAAACACCCAAACAACCACTAATAATACAATAGTTTTAAGCTTTTTGGGATCAGCTCTGAGAATCTTAAGAAAGTGACAGATTATTTTCCCAGAAAAATGCAAGTACAAACAAAATCTTGAATACAATTTCAAGGAGGATCGCAGATGGAAAATGCTATTTTATTTTATTTTATTTATTTATTTTTTTGCGGTACGGGGGCCTCTCACTGCTGTGGCCTCTCTCGTTGCGGAGCATGGGCTCCGGACGCGCAGGCTGAGCGGCCATGGCTCACGGGCCCAGCCGCTCCGCGGCATGTGGGGTCTTCCCGGACCGGGGCACAAACCCATGTCCCCTGCATCGGCAGGCGGACTCTCAACCACTGCGCCACCAGGGAAGCCCGGAAAATGCTGTTTTGAAAGAGAGTTTGGGTTCTTTCTGCATCTCTCCTATTCTCCCTTGAGCCCAAAACAGTCAGGTTTTGCCCTCAATATTTCCATCAAAAGTGCCCTTGTCAAGCTCACCAACGTCTTGGCCAGCGGTCATGTGAGTCCTGTGCTCACATGATCACGCCCCTTCTCCTTGAAAAGGTATCTTCTTCATTTGGTTTCAAGGACCCGACCTTCTCCTGCACCTGCTGGACAGCTGTAATTTCTGACCCTTGTCTACAGATTCTGCAAACTGAGTTTTGCATTGATAATGTTTAGGTTACATAAATCTTACTTCCTCTCGTGTGAATCATGTCAGAGGGTATGTGAGGAAGTTACAACTACATGGCTAAGGAGAAAGTTTCAAATAGCAAGGAAGCTCTTTAACTGACTTCACCTTTGAACCGTAACTTTCTGGCAAAACCACGATGGACATGCCTTTGGCAGCTTCAGGCCAATGACAGTTGTCAACAGCAAAGCAACAGTGTACAGCCATCCTTCGGTATCTGCAGGGGGTTGGTTCCAGGACCCCCCCCAGATACCAGAATCTGCAGATGCTCCAGTCCCTTATATAAAATGGCGTAGTATCTGCATATAACCTACGCACACCCTCCTGTACACATGCAGTCATCTCTAGATTACTTGTAACACCTAATACAACGTAAATGCTACATGAATAGTGTGGAATTTTCCCCTCTGAATATTTTTAATCCGTGATTGGTTGAATCATGCAGAACCTTGGGTATATGGAAGGCTGACTGTATCACCTTTATAGTTTATTGTTATAAACAGCTAAATTAAATGTACATTTGGTGCGTGTATAAGAAGGCTAGGAGTTACATCACGACTTAATTGCCACGGTGATTAAAAACAAGGCTTCTGCCCCATACAGTCCTTCCGTAAAATGGAGTGGCTGCGTCGAGACTGAATTATTACCAGCAGAGAGATGCAGCTTTAATCCAGGGGTAAACTAACCTGACACGCTCAGATTAATTCACTGACTTAAAGGACTAAGCAAAACACGTTTTTCTCTACTTCACTTCCCAAAGCATGCCTTGTTTTCAAGTATAATTATGAAGATTTTTGGAATGTTTAAGGAAAAATGTGTATTTGTGTTTCTCAACCATCAGGCTGTCAGTGATGAAGAGATTTCATTATAGTTGATGAAAGGAAAGGCTCCTGAGACCTCAGGCTGGACGGATTCAATGTGCCCCGGTGTTCCACCGGCAGCCTACAGCAGCTTTCAAGGAGCTATGGGAAACATCACTGAATAATAGTTCCTTTAACTTGTAGTTACTTTAACTGAGATTCCAATTTGCTGGGGAGCTTGTGCACTTCCATTAGGACAGAATGAGCCTTCGTGCTCCCCTTCACCACGCTAGCAATGAGGCAACTTACTCTAAATGGGGCAGTTTTGTGATGTGGACCAACATGAAGAAAGGAGGACTTCCACTGTGGGGAGAAAGACACAACAAAACTGCTTACGCTTATCACTAATCTCTCTACATCACAAAGAGACATCCCACCATTGAACAGAGGCTACAGGGATAATGAACAAGAACTTCGAACACAGGGATGGAAGGGCCAGGAGCGTGGACACAGACTGTACCATGCAAACTCAACCATCTGGTTACTGACCCTCAGACTTCCGCGGCTACCCGCTGACACGCGATCATCTTCATCAGACGCCTAGTAAAAAGAAAGGATGAAAACAACCATGAGGCGATGATGTAACAGACACAGAGAAACCAGTGACCAGCTCTGAGGGAAGCGGCTGACCCGACACATGGCAGGGGGGCAGATCAGGCCCCCGTGAAAATCTCAGTGCACGTGAGCCTGGGTTTTCGCCAAAAGGGCTTTGTTTGTGCACCTCTGCTTAACAGAAGACTGTTTCTGGATAACACGACTTTAACTTCACTACAGTGATGCTGTTCACTTCGCTGGTAACCTACAAACATGTAGCTTAATGCATATTACTCTGCAAATTATTCATGGGTATTTAATAGCGAAAAAAGCACTAAAACTGTCATGAAACTCAGAAAATTTTCAAACACTCACTCTCGCCTCACCGAAGTCAGGTCACAATGCTAAAGGCTGAGTTCACAGTCTTTGTTTAGGTAACAGTATCAGTGTTAGTTAATTTCTTTCATAAGTATCATTAAGATATAGATATAGATACAGATCTATAGATAGGTGTATATACATACAGACAGATGGATAGAGAGACAATTTATGTATTTCAGCCATTAAAACTGCAAATCAGACTTCAGTCAAAACGCCGAGGTAACGAATGAACACAGTACTAACCGACGTGTTTCTTCTGGATCTACGGGAGTAGCGCTCACTGTCTTCCTACCAAAGCAACGGAGGAAACAGCACAGAAAGGTTAGGGCAGACACAGGAGAAGGCTTAGATACTCCACAAAACAGTATTTCTGATATAAATGTCAAACAAATATTTTCTTTGCTTTTGCTTAAAGGCTTCAATTAAACCACTGGGGGAAAATGTTTTCTTCTAAAAGTGGGTGGGGGGGCTTAAGCACACAAAGAATCAGCATATTTCATTTTGGCTTTAAAAGCAAGTGCGTGTTGGGTGAAAAGCAGGGTCTTAATTTTTTCCGAATCGAATGTGGTCCATTTAAATCAGCCTACTTTTCTTCTTACGTTCAAAACCTTACTCACTTCTCTTCAGGAATTGGAAGAGAAATCACTTTCGTAAGAGATCCAATACGGATGCCACCCCATCTACCATATTTTGTGCATTCTAAGGTGCTCCATTTTGCATTTGGACGTCTCTGAAGTTGGGGCATATCTTATCATCAAAGTTGCTCACGATTATAGTTAGCAACTTTCTGTTTCTTTCTCAGTGGTATATAGAACACTGACACATCTTTTAACTGTGTCTTACGACTTGATAAACGTACATCTCCCTGTGTCATATAAACTAGAATGATGGTTTACACATAACAGAGGTTGAAGTTAATAGTTTTTTAAATAGAGGAACTGTGTGCTCTTTATATGTCATCAACTGTTTTCTTTTATATTATACACAGATCTCTCAATGTTAGGTCATTTTATACTCCCTTAGATTATTTTATGTGTAAGGGACACCTAATAGGACAGTTCCATACTGGTCAGGTTCTCAAATGCTACAGGTACGTGATGATGTCCATGAGGCCAGTCAGCAAGGTGACAAGGACAGGAAGAGGTGGGGAGCACTCAGGTGGATGAATTCATGACAGGAGCCATGAAGCCGTGCTCCCTCGGGACCAGTGGACAGCTCTTGGAATCCCCCCTCTTCTAGAACCTCCCGCCAGGGGGCAAGATCTCCCCCTGGGAGGGTCGTAAGGACAGGGGTATCGTGAGGGGCGGGCCAGCTCTTAACCGACTAAGGAGGACAGCTAAGTCGTGCCAGGAAACAGGGTGAGAAGGTAAAGGAATTTTCTCACCAGAGGACAGTGGTTTCTCAGGCACAGCAGATGAGGTTGGGGCGGGGGGTACCCAGCAGCAAAGTATAGAGGTCGGAATGGGGTGACCGGGCAGCTGACTGCAATCGTGAGTGAAGGAATTGCAGCATCACGCGTCCCCCTGGATTCCAACTAGAGCTGGCTGGACCGGATGCTCATGGGAAGGTTCTCGCGCCGGGGCCCCACGCCCAGCCTGAGTGTCCCCAGGGGGGAGTCCACTGCAGAGGAGATCGGGGTCCTGGTCGGGGTGGAGACCCTCACAAACGCTGGCCTGGAAGCTCCAGGAGTCAGCTGCTACTGAACAGACCTGACACCAGCCCTGGCCAGGGCACCTTCTAACCAGGCTTCACGTGGGATGTACACAACCAGGGCAGATGCAAGCACGCCCAGCAGGAAATCACTCAGTATCAAATTAGGGTGCAACAGGGATCTAGCCATGTAATTAAACTGTGGAAGAATCCAATTACAAACCATTTACGCTTTTCAAAATCAGATTCAAGGCCTACCATCCATTGCTCGATGTCGCCCCACTTTGTATCCAGCCCATAATATTTCTACAGACAGAAGGGAAAGAAAATTAGGCAAGAAGTGCAACGGTAATCGCACAGGACACTGTTCTGACATGCATTTCCAAACGGTTGCCAAGCCTCGGGGTCAAGGTAGCATGCCAAGGCAGAGCAGGGAAGCACATGGTCAGGCTCTGACCCCCACGCGGCCTGTGAGCCTGTGAAGACAGAGCCTCCCGACCCGCTCCCTCGGGGAAGACGAGAGAGCCCAGGACGAAGCAGTCCTGGGGCGAGGGGGTGGCCTCCGTAGAGACCAGGAATTCAAACTGAGCCCAGCAGCTTTCAAGCCCCTCTGTAAAGCTGTCCATGCCTTCGGAGCAGGTGTACTGCAGGAATAAAGCACGATTTAAGAGAAGCCAAAGCCATTCCCGTGCTGCTACAACAGGAAGGAGAACACCAGAGGAAAGGGGGAGAAATGGTGTGCTGCCCCTAGATTTCTAGTACACTTGCTCCAGCTATCTGATAGCCACGCTAAATTTAGGCCCTCGAGAATTTCTGGGCTGTGGACGTCTTTGTAACATGCCACTGATGGCAAGATGACCAAGCAGGCTGTTGCAGAAGAGGTCTTGGCCCAGGGAAGAAAAGTTCTGCTTGGTGTTTTCTTTAGCCAACACCTCCATGGTTTCAGCTCGCCTGTCTAAACCGCAATGTTAAACCGCCCAAGTTAGAAACAGAAAAGCAGATTCAGGGTGGCTACTACTGTTACTAAATACAGCAATTCCAAATTCAGGTGGGAACCCAGGTAGACTCTCAAGTAATGGGGCTTTGCTGTCCTCCTCACTCTTCCCTCAATTTCTAATAAGAAAAGCAAGAAACAACCATCCAAACCTCCCTATCGTATGACACAGATGGGATTTTCCTCTTACACGTGAAAAGCTTATCATCAGAAGAAAAAAAGTGGATGCTAGAGTACACGACAATTTTTGAAATTGTTTTACAATGACCAAAACAGGCTGCTGCTATGTTTGGTTCAGTTTCCATTTATTTTGATGGGCGGCCAGATTTAGAATATATATATGGCTCTTTGATGGCCTTGCCCCTTTCTCCTAGAGGCGGCAACAAGCAGAAAACTGGAAGAAGAAAAGCAGGAGGGAGAATTTAACAGTGCTTTAAAAAGTCAAACAATACAGAACCTTAATATCCGGAGCACATAAGCCAAATCTTTTTCTGTAAGTTCCTTTCCTTAGACTATAAATCGAGAAAGGAAATAAACGTAAACACTTCCTAAAGTCACGTTTTAACATCCGTTTAAGTGAAATGCAACGGCTTAAAGCTATTCTGCATTCAATTCATGTTAGCCCCACTCTCACTGTCAAATTCCAGATATGAAAATTTGATGCCATCAACCCTCCTTTATCTCACGGCTTAACCGCAAAGACAGAAAGAAAAAGTGGTTTTTAAAAAGGAGGGGGCCTACAGAAATTGACAAAAAGTAAATTCCAAAAGAAGTCTGTGTTATCCGATTTTCTATTTCCATATTTCCCTTTTTGGCCAATTCTATACCCATATCACATACTGCACTCTACCTATTGCTCTTTTTAGGACAAAGATAAGAATCAGTGTTTAAAGTCTTTCATCGAGTCCACAGGTGGCCTAATAAACAGCTGCTGTAACTCTACAGCTGCATCTCCACGCCATTCCATGGAGGGAGGACACCCCTGCCAACAGTAAGTGCGGTTAACGAGTAGTCCTGGTGTTAGCTGGCAGTGACAGCACAGCAAACTCTAGAAAGTGTAAGATATTGCACATGTAAACTGCTATGATTAGCCAGCGAGTCATGCAGAAGGAAGCAAAAGCCAGACGAACGCAGAAGTGCTCGACTTTCAGAAACAGCTTTGATTCTGCAGGAGAGAAACCATGATGGATGCAGCCGATGGGCTGGAACAGCGCCTTACTGCTTCCTTTTCCGTTTCCTGAGTCTCCGTGACAAGGAAAGCCTTCCCTTCCCTCGGACACATCTTTATGATAAAAATGTGTATCTGTTTTCCCATGGAGGGCTTCCTGTGCTCCCTCTAGCTGTATTTGTATACAAATGACCATTCTGACGAAGTTCTAAGGGCGTATCCCTGGTGAGTTGGTGAAAGGAAAATAATCTTGATGCAGCACCAGATGGGAATGAATCAAAGTGGAAATGACCAGATAGGAGTCCCTTGTCTAGGTTTTAGGCAGTTACGTCCTGCTCTATCAGATACTGTGATGGTTCCCAGCCTTGTCTTTTTGTTTGTTTTTTTTTGCAGTACGCGGGCCTCTCACTGTTGTGGCCTCTCCTGTTGCGGAGCACAGGCTCCGGATGCGCAGGCTCAGCGGCCATGGCTCACGGGCCCAGCCGCTCCGCGGCATGTGGGATCCTCCCGGACCGGGGCACGAACCCGTGTCCCCTGCACCGGCAGGCGGACTCTCAACCACTGCGCCACCGGGGAAGCCCCCAGCCTTGTCTTTTACCTATGAAATTCCTACCTAGATTCTCTGTGTATGGGTTGGAGCTCTAGCTTCAATACACATTTCCAAGTGGACCCTGCAAAAACTAACGAAGTCCAAACAGATTCCGGCACCTACTTAACTGGTTTCTTAACACTCGGGGACAGTAGTTACGCAGAGTGAGAGAGGCAGGAAGGAAAGGCAATTTGGAACTGTAGCTGGTGAAGGAATCCAACAACAGAATTTTACATTTACTGATAGAGGGTGTTTAAGGGGTCGGCATGTTCTACCCTACGAAATTAAGTCACCTTGCTTTGATTTCCTTAGTTGCTCTCAAAGGCAAATATAGTCCTTCTTTATCTGTAAACTAAATAAATTTGTAAACACGAAGCTATTATAGGTGTCGTAAGTAACAACAATTCATTTTTGGGAAAGACTCACTGTAAACACTTTCTGTAAGTTCTCAGGGAACCGCTTACTCCTTCCTTCGTTATTGCTGGATCAGGAGTCACTGACTTGGTTGTTTTCCTCTTTATTTTGTGTCTGGCCTGCTCAGTGCATTTATTTCTAAACCTCAGCTGCTTTTACAAAATACTAGGAAACAGAGAATATTGGAGATAGAAGGCAGGTGTGTTTTAAGCTGTTGGATTTTACTGTTATATCAGCATTTTCTTTTTTTACTCAGATTTTAAATCAGTATGTAATAATCTCCTCATGTATGGTAATATGCCTTGATAGCTTAAACCCTTTCTAATAAAATTATATGAGAGGATAATCTTTCTTTTTAAATATCTGATTTCAAAAGGTTTTCCAAACTCTGAGGTGTGATTTTTATTTTGTCTTAGAGTTAATTTTTCTTCTTCAACGATTTTCTAATTTCTTGAGAAAAGGGAGATGGGAAA